CCCCCCCCCGCCCAACTTGAATTTGATAAATAACCATCTGATTGGTTACCACTTTTATGATATAAGTTAATTGGTTACAAGTTATTCCAGTATCATATCTTTCTGGTATCATGGTTGAACACATCTGTATATATGCATCTGATCAGGTTATTTATTGAGTGTTATGTATCTTGTTGCTTATTCTACTGTTTTCTGAATTCTTATCCTATTCCACTGTTTTTAATATTTTCTCAATGTTTTAGTGTTTTTAATATTATCGGCTTCCATAAATGTCCAAGAATTCATTTCATTTCCTTTGGAACTAAAGTTCAACTCCAATTTGATGTTAAGCATTTAGTATACAGCTTTCCGCCTTACCCTACAGAATACAAGAGTTGGCAAGTAGTGGTAAAATCCAGAGTAATGAGCCAGCAATCTAATGGTAATGCATAAATAGGCAAGGGGGGCTCATTGAGTATTATGGAACTCAGGTCCAAATACTTTGAAAACATATTATGCTTAAGTCTAGTTTTTATTAATAACAAGCAAGATGTAAAATGCACATCAACATGTTTCAACGTTATGCATAAATATGTGGACATCCCCAAAAATGAAACAAGTGAAAGTATGTGGGTGCAATGCTGCATGCAACCTCTTTCTCAGCATGATACATTTTTTTTTGGTAAGTTTCTCAGCAAGATACATTCATGGCAGGATAACAACCATTCACTCATCTGAGCCCTGGCCATAGGAAATTGACAATGCAAGTGCATCAGAACAAAATAGAGAAGAGAGGAATGGCTTACCCCATCTGTACAGACTTGTGAATCCATGGAAGGCTTTTTTAAACGTGTACCATCAGACCCAAAACCAACCAGAGCAGGTACTGTGCCAGAAGCTGAAGTTCTGCTTTCTGAAGTAGCAGTTTCATTAGATTTTTTCTGTTCATGAACTTTAAGGAAAGAGCTACCCCCATCTTCACCTCCTTGGTTGGTAGAGGTAAGTAAACAGTCACTCTTCTGAGTATCAAAAGCCTCAAGATTAGAGCCAATAAATTGACCATTTACCATGTCTTTGGTGAACCCACAAGGAGGCTTTTTCCATGCAGTCGCCAGCTTTATTTCATCTGATTTCTCCTTCAGGGTTGGAATAGTCCTGTCAAGGTGCTCCAATATTTTTCTAGCCATCTTACTAGACTGTGGGTGGACGGTTGGTACAACAGTACTAGAAGTGGGTGCTTTATCATCTGCAGGATGGAATTGTAAATTACCACTGGTAGATGCTCCAGGATCAAGAGTCCTCTTAACTGTGGGTGAAAAGCCCTTAAAAGCATCAGAACCTTCTGACCATAAAGGAGCAGAGCTGGAAGGACGAGATGAACCATGTTCTCTGGAAGAACCTGTTGAAATGAACTTCTGACGTATTCTACGAATGGGTCCTATTGTTCCTGTGTGATCATCCACAACAGTGTTCCCTGTTTTGATCATCTGCGGTCAATGCAGAGGGCAACATGAAGAGCCAAGTTGTCAGTCCAAAACATAAAATACCATATAGGTTTTACATACATCTTACAATATATTTTTGCATTTAAAAAAGATATTTTTTTAGTTTAAGCAATTAATACTGCAGTATAGATTTGCCAATGTTCAAAAACTATTCCCAATACCTCCCTTGTTCCAATGGGGGACAGAAACTATCCAAAAAAGAAAAAGGAAAAAAAACTAACCCATACTTTGAACTTCCAGGAGGCAGAGCCAGAGATGAGGCTGAAATTTTATGGGACTTCCATCGGTAATCCTGGTAAAGCTGGTATTGGGGGTGTGCTCCTAAGAGATGATAGTATTTTCTGGGAAAGGGGATGATCAAGTTCAAGCTCAGGAAGGGAGGCAAGGTGAGGGTGAGAAGTTAGCAATACAGAAAACATGGGGATCTAGTTTACAAGTACCCAAGCAAGAGAAAGTTTGTGTTATCACCCTTTCATCCATCTAACCTTGGATCTTTTCCTCCAACTGACTTCCTCTCTATATGCTAGCGAGTCAAATTCCTTCTCAGCTTGTGGTCGTTTTAGATTTAACCCCTCAACAACAAACTCATTTTCCTCTTCTTTGTCCATCTCTGCTATAAGATTTTTTTTTTTGATGAATCACCTCTGCTATAAGATTAGGCATTCTAATTTTCGAATCCTTTCACAAGTGACTTGCTTGGCTCCCCAGTCTTTTAATTGCTTCTTCTGGTATTGCAATTTCTTGCTTATTACAAAGCTAGCAGATCCTTCCACCTGAAACTCAGCTCATCACTTCTTGGTGTTGTTGCCAAAATCTTCTATCTCCAACCAACTGTGATCTAATCTGAAGGGAGAAACTTTTCTATTTACTGCCCCACACTCTAAAAGCAAAGGGATGTGATTCAAAAAGAGGGTGGAGAGGGCGAAGGAGTACTTGGAAAAAGAACCTCCCGTTCTCTTGAAATCAGAAAGCAATCAAACCTCACAAAGGATAGAAAATCTTGGTTGTTGGTCCAAGTATCCTTTGCCCCCAATAAAGACAGGTCCAACAACTCCCAGTTCTGGATAAACTCAGCAAACATTCTCATGCTCCTATTCATTTGATAACCACCAGCCTTGTCCTAGAAGCACCTGATAGTTAAAATCCCTAGCCTTTCTTGCAGCTTTTCCCAGTGAAAGAAGTTTAGTGTAGATTGATTCCACCTAAGGTTGGTGCCTTTCGCTTGGAGGTCTTCCATAAGAAAATTAACACTTGTGACCTATTACAGAAAAGGAAACCTAAGTGTTGCTTTTCTCCCTTGTGGTGTATACTTTGCAAAGCTAATGGTGAGACATGCTATCACTTGCTAATCTCCTGTCCTTTTGTTACTTGTATTTGGAATTGGCATTTTATTCTTTTTAGATGCAGGTGAGTAATTCCTCCTAGTGTGTCAAACCGCTTTGCACCTACAACCTTCAATTGGCCAAAAAAGAGGGGAAGGATTTATGGAAATACACCAGGGCTGCAATTGTTTGGACAATATGGGAGGAAAGCAATGCTCAAATCCCCAAATAGAAGGAAAGAACCACAGAAGCAATACTAAAATGCATCACTATAAGAGCGGCCACTGGATTAGATCTTTGGAGAGCTTCTCAACATACTCAGTTGATGACTTCATACGGAAGTGGAAAGAGGTGGAAGGGACTTCTACAAAACAGACACTGATTTACAGAAGCTGGACTCGTCTAGAAGAAGGGTTCATCAAGCTCAACTTTGATGGAAGCAGAAAGGGAAAACCAGGGCCCTCAGGGATAGAAGGCATCTTTAGGGATGAGAAAGGGATTGTAGTGGTTCTATTCTCAAAGATTAGGACTCCCAACCAAATGTCTACCCACATATTGACTCAAGATGACATGTCTCCAAAGAGTATTAGATTCATTCCCAAATCTCCAAAGCTACCCCCAGTAACACCTTGTTCACCAGCCAGAAAGATTTAATCTCCAAGCACCTCACATCTCTAGGGGTACTTAATTCTCCCCTACTCCACCAAACAATAATTCATCTTCTCATTTGGTCCATCCTAAAGAAAGTCCCTCTCCTTTTCCAATATATAAACCAGCAAAGCAGGCATACAGTACACTGTAAGATTGGATAAAGTGCTTTTAATAAGTCGCCTCCCCTTCATTTTTCAAAAAAAAAAAGAGTTGCCTTCCCTTCCTTGGGTGGTTTTCCATGCTACCAACCAACAGATTTCCTATTTAATCATTCCTCCTTTTTTTTTGAGAGAGAGAGAGAGAAGGTAAAATGATAAAGTATAAGTGTATTACCAAAGTATAAAAGGGAACAAAACCCTATAGGGTAACTGACTGTACATCTCAGAGGGTTTCACAAAAAGACATACTAATTACAAAGAAAAAGGTAGCTCAATTTCCTACAGAACCTCTCAATGATAGGACCCCAAATCACATTTGCTATAAATTTTTCCCCCAAAGGGAGAACAAGTAGGTAGATGGCAGCCTCCCAACAGCACACCCCAGGGCTCCAGCTAAGTCTGCACTCTGCAGTACACTCTACAGCACTGATACCAAATAAACAGCCAAGTACTGTCAGACCAATTATGCCATAGGAGACAAACCTTTAAAGGATCTGTTCCCTTTGCTATTTTCTGTTTCTTCGTACAAAAAAGAGGTGGTCTCAAAACTTGTCTCACCTTTGGGAACACCCTTAGATCCTACTTGGGATTTTGGGTTACGTAGAGGACTTAGGGATGATGAAATTGA